GCTACAGTGAGCTGTGATGGAGCCACTGCGCTCCAGCCTGGACAGTGAGACCCTGTCTCGAAAATACTAATAATTGTGGCCAGGCATGGTGGCTCACACCTGTAATCTCAGCGATTTGGGAGGCCAATGCAGGTGGATCACTTGAGGGCAGGAGTTTGAGACTAGCCTGACCAACATGGTGAAATCCATTCTCTACTAAAAATACATAAAATTGGGCTGGGTGCAGTCGCTTACACCTGTAATCCCAGCACTTTGGGAGGCCGAGACAGGCAGATCACTTGCGATCAGGAGTTAGAGACCAGCCTGGCTAACATGGGGAAAGCCCCTCTCTACTAAAAAAAATTAGCTGGGTGTGGTAATCGTAGCTACTCTGAAGGCTGAGGCAGGAGAATCATTTGAACCCGGGAGGTGGAGGTTGCAGAGAGCTGAGATTGCGCCACTGCACTCCAGCCTGGGCAACAGAGTGAGACTCTGTCTCAAAACAAAAACAAACCAACAAAAATAATAATCGTCCCTTATGCTAACTCTCCTGTTTCATTTGTATTTCCAACATGAACAGAAAGACTTTTGGAAGGCGTAGGTTGGGGCTCACCTGGGAACCCCTCTCCATCCCCCACCCAGACCAGCAGCCTGGAGTCGAGCTTGGCTGGGCAGCAGGGATCACTGGTGCACTGAGGGGTGAGTGGGTGAGTGTCTGTGGCTGGAGGCCCTGGGGGTGTTCCTGCCCCCGCCCAGGCGTGTGTTGGTTGTGGGGGAAGGCTGCTGCCCTCTCTGGATCTGGTCAGGGCCCTCTTTGTATCTGGTGACAGCTGTGGGGTGTGGTGTGACTCTGCAGGCTGGGGTTTTGTTCCTGGAGGCCTTGGCCCAGGCTGAGCAAGGAGGTGCTGTTTGTTTTAGGGTCACGCAGTGGATTGAGGTAGGGGGCAGGTTTATGGGGTGTGTCTGGTGGGGAGTTTTGTGTATCTGGGAGCCTGGCACACCAGCCGCACCATAAATGCATGGCCTGTGGAGGGCTGTCCCGGGCGTGCTGGTCGGGGTGTGGGATGGCTGTGCAGGCCCCGCGTGGGACGGCACCCGTTGGTTTTGCTTGCTCTCCCGCAGGGCTGAGTGTGGGCAGCGTCCTCAGTATGGGGCGTATGCCCTCTGTGGCAGCCAGCTGTCTCCCTCGCCCCGCTCCGCCCACATTCCAGAGGTGTTGGGGGCGCCCTCCCAGGCTCCCACCCGCTCCCGACCTCCAACCTCGGCCCAAGCCCACTCCCTCTGCTCTGGCACCCAAGGAGGCAGCTGGCTCCAGGGAGGGGCTGCAAGGCGGGGGAGGAGGCTGGAATGTGCCCCAGGGTGAGGGGGGCCCCCAGAGAGGGGGCGGAAGCAGGGAAGGGACGGAGGGGCGGAGATGGTGGTACTGGGTTGGGGAGACCGCGGGAGATCGGAACAAATAGAGAAAGGCAAAAGAAAGAGAAACGGAGGGAGTGAGAACCAGACAGAGGGTGGAGGCAAGGCCAGGAGGGCCCCTGCAGAGTCAGGGCCCAGGTGACAGCCTCCCCTCCCCCACCCGCCAGGCTGGGCTGCTCACCTGTCCCAAGTGACCCCAGAGGCAGCCAGTTCTCTGCCCTCCCAGGGCTGGGTGGCCCGTGGGTGGGGCTGCACCGGCCTCCTGGGTTGGGCCCCAACGCCCTTGGCCACGGGGTGGTGGCGTCCCCAGCCTCCAGCCCGGTAACTCCCATTCCCATGGTGCTGGGAGAGGAGGGCGGGTGGGGCCAGGCCCTGTGGGGGCGGCTGTGCCTGGGCACCGGCTCAGTCCCTCCAACCCAGTGGCTCCAAGCCAGGGGCCTGGCTGCCTGGCTTCTATTGCTGTCCACCCTAGCCACCTCCCAAGCCAGCTCCAAGGGCCCATTCGGCCTCCCCCAGAGGACTCCGGCCTCAAGCTGAAAGCCATGACCTCCACTGACCTTCTCCTGCCCGCCCACAGCTGCCGCGTCTCTCCAAGCACTGCCCACCTGTGAGCTCACCGCCTGGCAGGGACGCCAGCACGGGCTCCCAGCCACAGGGCAGCTCCCACCCTGCAGCTCCAGCTCTGTTCCCAGGCCACTCCAGAGGCCAGGCTGCACCAAAGACCTTGGCTACAGTCTCCCCACCTGGCACAGGCCCTGTTCACTTCAACCACTGCCTTCTCTGAGCACACACCAAGTTGGAGCCCACAGCCAAGCAGCGGGCGGCACGGGGGATTCCTGCCTCCTGAGTGCTCACTTCTCTTGGCCCAGAGCTCACACCGGCATTTCAGATTTCCTCCTCCATCCCCGTTACCCCGTCCTTGCCAACCACCTCCCTGTGGACCTAAAGCCACCACCTTCCGGGCACACCGTGGTTCCTTTTCCGTCTCTACCCCCCCCAGGGTGAGGCCGCCAGGGTCCCCATCGATCATCGATCCAACTCGACCGCCCCGCAAAGTCCAGGCCATGGGTCCAGCCACCTCCCAGATGTCCTGGCCGCCGCTCCCTCTCACCTTCTCCTTCTCCCTGGTCCCTCAAGTCATCCCTCCAGTGGCCGACTTGGGGAATCACCGTTTAGGGTCCTTGCCAGCCTCGCCTTTCCGCCCATCTTTGATTTTTCTCCACTAACTGACTTCCCGGTTGCTCCCCAAATGCACTTGGTTTCACGTTTCCGGGCCTTGGCACACGCCGTGCCCCCTACCTGGAGCACCCTTTCCGCTTCCTACAACACTTGGCAAACTCCTGCTCCTTTGGCAAAGCCTCAGCCTCAGAGCCCCCCTCCTCCTGGCCTCCTGTCTGAGCAACCCCAGCCTAGGGACCGCGGGGAGGCTGGGCCGGGGTCTGGGACGTACAGTGGTGCAGGGGTGGGGGCAGCAGGAAACGCGTTGGCGTGAAAGGACGGGTGCACGTGAGCGTGCCCGTGCCGGGGGTCCACGTGCGGCGCCCCGGGGCTCGCCCCCTCTTCCGTCCAGGCCCCGCCGCAGCCGTCAGACCCTCGGCTGCGCCTCCCGCCCCCAAGTTTGCAGACGCGCGGGGAGAGAGGCGGGGCCGCAGCGCCTCCGCTCATGCGTCTGCGCACTCGGCCCTACCGTGCTGAAGTCCCGCCTTCTGGAGGCTGCCTCGCGCTGCTACTGGTGCACGCAGATGACCGAGCGGTGCGATCACCAGTGAGGCTTCCCCGCTGGTGGGCGGGGCCTGGGCCGCCCGACGCGCGGACGGGGGCGGGCGGGGCGCCCTACCCGGGGTGACGTCAGGCTCCTTTCGCGGCGCGTTGCCCTGGAAACCGCGTTTCCATCCCGGCGGGTTTCCGGGGGCCGCCCCCTCCCATTCAGCTTTTTCCTCAATGGTAGGGGGAAGGGAGCGATCCAGGGCCGACCCCGCCCCCCGCGATCCCAGCGGTCCCTGCCCTCTTTGTGCCTCAGTTTACCTCTCCGTGCCTCCCTACGCACACGTGGCCTCTGCCTGCCGCCCCTCCGCCCCCTGCACCCCTGGCTGGGCTGACCCCACCAGGCCAGGGCTCTGAGCCTGGAACTCCACACCCCACCCCACGTCCCCAGGGCACAGCCTTGACCCCCGGGATCCCCAGGCTGGGGTGGGAGTCGGCATCCCGAGGAGCGGGTCCTGGAGTGCAGGGGACGCGCCCCCCACCCTGCAGGATGCAGACACAGCCCCTGTGATTCAGCAGGTGCTGCAGACAACATCCTCCTTCCTTCTCCCCACCCCGCCCAGCGAGGGGGCGGGTGGCACCCTGGGGCCCTCGCCCTGACCCCAGGCCGGGCGTCGGTGACCCGCACCCCCGCCCTGCGCCCCGAGGGGACATCCGCACCAGGGACGGGGGCCGGGGGGCCGCCCGACTGGGCATCCGCCTTCCTGCCGTGGGCGTGGGATGATTTGGGGTTGACTGGGCGTTGGGAGGGGCAGAGGGGTCTCAGAAGGTGCTCCCAGGCCACTCCCTGGACCTGTGCCCCTTCCCCTCGGGGCTCCGGGTGCTGGGGCCCCTAGAGATGGGATAAGGGGTGGAGGTCACACCATTGAACAAACACCCCAAATCCTCTGGGGTGGGCCAAGTTTCTCTTTGGGCCTCTGTTCTCCCATCTATAAAATGGAAGCCCAGTTACTTCTCTTAGGCAACTCCTGTTACCTGAGAAAATACAGGTTAAAAAAAGAAACAAAAGGACATGCAATAGTATTATTGCCCTCTCTCTGCCCAGCCAGGACACGGATGGAGGTGGGACCCCAGAGAGGACTCAGTGCTGCTGGGGCTCTTGGGGAGCTCCAGGCTGGGGGCAGACAGAGGGAAGGGTGGGGTCTGGGGGACTGGGCGGACAGGGGTGGGAGGCACAGGCTGGGGAAGTTCCCAGACAGCAAGGGACAGCCGGACAAGGGGTGTTCCTAGATAGGGGCAAAGGCCAGGTTTGGAGCTGAAGGCCAGGTCTGGGAAGGGCTGGAATGTCAGGAGGTGTGGCCAGAGAGGCCCCCCAGGGCTGGGTCAAGCCAGGCCTCTTATCGCCAGCCAGCCCAGGGTACCCTGCAGGACCTTGGGTCCTCCCAGTCAGCCTGGTGATCTCCTCGCAGCAAGCCACACAGACATGAGACTCCAGGAAGGGCAGTGGGTGGGTCTGGCCAATTGGGAGCCCCCCCGACTCCTGGGGCTGGGGAGAGCTGGTGGTCGGGTCTCCCCCATACCGGCAGGTCCTGAGAGGGGGCCACGGTCCTGCCCAGGCCACGAAGCAGGCAGGCAGGCCCTTGCCCCACACCCTAAGGGACTTCCGGCCTTGGGTACCAGGAAGTGGCTGGGCTCCTCCCTCCCACGCCCTGGCTGCTTCCTGCCCACCCGGCAGCCAGGAGGGAGCGTGGGAACTTCTCAGGGCCCTGGCCCCTGCCCCACCCCCTCCTGGGGCCCTGGGACCAGGTCCGTGCCTCTGACTCTCTGAGCTGACACCCCACTCTAGGAACCCTCCCAACCAAGGCCAAATCCCCCCACCAGGTGAGCAGGCGGGAGGCAACATGTTCCATTTTCTGTTTATTACTTGAAATCACGGTGCTCATGTAGGTATTTTTTTTTTAATTTTATGTTTTCATACATGAAAGTCACGCCAGGTGCCGGGACCCCCACAGCCCGACCCCCCGAGGGTGGGTAATGCTTTCTTGGGCAGCCCTTACGGGGCAGAGGGTGGCGAGCCGGTTCCTGCCTGGAGGTTCCACCCGCAACCCACGGAGGCACAGACGTTATTTAAAAATCGTTAAAAAACAAAACAGAACACACATTTAAATAGGGTATCCAAGACAGTTCTTCAAAAAACAAACCCGCCCCTGTTTCTCCTTTTTTTTTTTCTATTTTTTTTTCTTCTTTTTTTTTTTTTGGAAAAACGAAAACAAAACAAAACCCCAAATCCTTGAGCTCTACCCTCTGGGACCCCTCCCTGCCCACCCCCCACAGAAAAATGTACAGAGCTACAGTTACAACACGTGATGTTCACATCTGAAACCATTAACTTTCCACACGTAAAGGGGGGAGTTGAGGACCTGGGGTTCACCTACGAGAACAAAGGAGGGGACAGGCAGGGCCAGGACAAGACCAACAGGCGGGGTGGGGAAGGGCCCAGACATCTCCGTTATCATTAAAAAATAAAAAGTGAGTGGGGAAAAAAAAATGCAAAAACTACCCCATTGAAATGGCCCCAGGAGGGGATTTGTCCCTCCCCTCTGGAGCCAGACACCCCTAGGGCAGGGGCACCGAGGGGCGGGGGGTCCAAATTAGACCAGCAGCGGACCCCGCCACGGGGGTTAATGCTACACGGAGTTGTTGCCCCCTGCCCAGGGGATTCACAGCTCAGCACCCCCTCCCATCCTGGCTGCAGGAGGGGCCCCCAGACAGTCCCAAATCCACGTCCCTCAGGTTGGGCCAGGAAGGAGGGCTCGGAGGGGGGAACTCCCCAGCACCCAGCCATTCTCTCTCCTTTTTCAAGAGTTCCCCAACCACTATTGGCTCAGTCAGAAAATTAATAGTCTATAAATACCCCAAGCTCAGGCAGGTCAGAAAACATGGGGGTGGGGGCGGAGGAAACAGCACAGTCTGCCGGCTGGGGCGGGGCGGAGGGCGGGCTGGGGGGGGGTAGTTCCCCTCTCCCTTCCCGGCAGGAAAGGGTGCCACGCCCCTGCACCCAAACCCTGTGCGGACCCCAGCCCCAGCCTCTCTGCTAAAACGGCTTTGCTCCCCTTTTTAAAGAAATGAAGGAAAATGCAAAAAGAGACCAAGAAAAAAGGACAGGAGTGGAAGAGAAACAGTCCCCTCGTTGGCTTCTGTGACCTGTTGGCTTGCTGTCGCCCATTGGGTGCTGCTGGCCTGGGGTGGAGGCCCCGAAGTCTGCACTGGGGGGGGAAGGGTTCTGCGCGCTGTGGCCCCCTCCCCTTATCTGTAAAGTGCATAATGACGTATCAACATTTTTGACTTAAAACCTGAATAGGATCGGGGGAAAGGAGGCGGAGGAAGGGAGGGGGGCAGGTTTCTCCTTCACTCTCCGCCATCCACAGACTGCTACATATTGGAGCTGGGGAAGGTTGGCAGGGAGGACTGACCCGGCGCAGAGGTGAAAGGAGACAGGTAGGAAGAGGAGGAGGAGGAGGAGGAGGAGGAGGAAGTGAAGGAGGAAGAGGAGGGCAGGAGTGGAGGGTGAAGGAGGTAGGAAGCAAAGCCCATGAAGAGTCCAGGAAACCACAGTCTGAACTTTTTAAAAAAAGAAAAAAATAATAAAAAAGAAGGAAAAAAGAAAGGCTTGTGGCTGGGGGGAGTGGCCGCCTGCCCTCCAGAGCTGGACCACACTCTCTCCGGGGCTCTCCGAGTCCCCGCCGCCCTGGGCTGGGGTTCGAGGGGCGAGGGTGGCCGATCCGAAGATCCTAAGCCACCACGAACTCTGACTTGATGTCGGGGTTCACTTCTGGCTTCCACACGGAGTCCTCGAAGTCGAGGCCCAGGCCGGAGGCCTCGCTGGAGCTGCCACCGCCCCCGCTGCTACTGCTGTCGCTGCGGCCGGCCTTGCGGCTGGGTGACCAGTGGTACGGACCCCGCGCGTCCCGCCGGGCCTTTCTACGCAGCCGTTTCTGCTGCAGGAGCAGCTGCAGCCGTTCCACCTTGCAGCGTGTGGCGCGGTTTTCCGTCTGCCGAAGCCGGTCCCCTGCAAAGGAGGTAGTGGCCTGTGACTCCCAAAGCCTCCATCCGCTGAACACAGAGGACCACCCCAGACCCCAGCAAATGCCCCTGAGGTCAGGCACAGTCCTGCCCTCCCTGGAGACTTGTGCCAGCAAAGGAAACGGTCAAGGGCGTCCACCATGCCGGGCAGGAGGATTGCTTGAGCTCAGGAGTTGAGACGGGCCTGGGCCACAAAGCCAGACCCCTCCTCTACAAAAATTACAAAATTTGTTGGGCATGGTGGTGTTTGCCTGGAGTCCCAGCTACGCAGCTGGCATCTAATTCTCTAGCTCAACCGTGAGCTGGGAAGGTCAGGACTGTCCTGCCTCATTCTTCTGGGAATCCTACATGGAGGGGGCTTGGCCTCCTCTGTGATCCGAGGGGAGACACTTAGGGGTTGTACCTTTACTTTATATTATTATTATTATTTTTTGAGATGGAGTCTCGCTCTGTCGCCCAGGCTGGAGGGCAGTGGTGCCATCTCAGCTCACTGCAACCTCCGCCTCCCGGGTTCACGCCATTCTCCTGTCTCAGCCTCCCGAGTAGCTGAGACTACAGGCGCCCGCCACCACGCCCGGCTAATTTTTTGTATTTTTAGTAGAGATGGGGTTTCACACTATGTTAGCCAGGATGGTCTCGATCTCCTGACCTCAGGTGATCTGCCTGCCTTGGCCTCCCAAAAGTGCTGGGATTACAGGTGTGAGCCACTGTGCCCGCCCGATTTCCCGCTTTTAAACGGAGCTGGGAGGAGCCCCCGCAATGGGTGCGGAGCCCAAGGGCAGTACAGTGGCCATCCTCCCGTGAGACTCCGGAGGGGAGTAACCCGCCGTTTGGGAGTAGTGGGGAGCTGAGGCGGGGGGTTCCTTGCTTTTCCAAGTCACTGAAATGCTTAGGGGTGGGCTCTGGCCCCGCCTTGGCCTGCCAGGACTGACTTGGCCATTCACAGAGGCTCCAAATGCCATCTGGAGATGGTGCCCCGGGGGGGCCAGGAGGAAGTGGGCCTGGGGCACCCCGGGAACACACAAGGACACTTTGTGCCCCGACACACATGCTGCCTTCTCTCCAAGCTGGAGCAGAGCAGTGGCCACGACAGCTGCCGTCCCCCCCGGCCCTGGGCAGGTCAGCTGCTCCTGTGCCCACCGGCTCACACAGAGGGGCCTTGAGAAGCCCGGGCGGGCGGGGAAGGCGGGACACCCGAGGGTGGCCACTCACCCGGAGGCTTGCACATGCGGATCTGGCTCTGGCCCTGCAGCAGGGAGGCTGCGGGGGCAGCCGCGAGCTTCTCGCAGGAGGTAGTTCTGGGGGCCAGGTCGGGGGCCGGGGAAGCCGGGGAGCACTGGGCGTGGCAGCGGAGCTGGGCCAGCGAGGGGGGCATGCCCTGGTAGTGCCGGGTGGCGCTCAGGAGGTCATTGAGGATCTGCAGGATGGTGCCGATGTCACGCCGTGGCCGCCCGCTGCTGTCTTGGCAGTTGGGGTGTAGCGTGCCTGCGGGCAGAGGTGGCCATGAGCGCCCGGCATGCGCACAGTCCCACACGTCCAGGACGGGCATCCACAGGTGTGAGCTCATGAGCTCAGACAGCAGGGTGGGCACGTGGGCTGATGTGCACAAGGGACCACAGGGCAGGAGCGGGACACATCCCCAGTATGCGGGCACCTGGTGACCCGCGGCCTCCGGGGCAAGGCCAGGCTTGTGTGTGGGGATTCCTGGGGGACATGCGAAGGGAGCAAATGGACACAGCCTGCGTATGCCCAGAATGTGTGGAGCCGCCTGTGAGTGGATGTGGGCCCCAAGTGCACAGGGTCACGGGACACACGTGAGGTCACGCGTGTGCTGTGACACCCACCAGAGAAGGTCCCTGAGAAGACCCCCGGGGCGTGATTCACAAAGCTCTCGATGACGGCGCCGGGTTTTCGGGAGCGGGGGGCAGGGCTGGCCCCTGGGGTAGATGCAGTGCTGGCACCAGGACTGGCACTGCTGCTGGCCGTGGGGGAGCAGTCCATCTGCTGACAGGAGGAAGGGGCACGTGAGCACGGGGTCCAGGCTCAGGGGATCACCACCAACCCAGGGTCTAGAGATAGCCCACCAATCTAGGCTCAGGGAATCATGCACCAACCCAGGGCCCAGAGATCACCCACCAGGCCCAGGTCAGGAGATGATCCATCAAAGCACGGTCTAGAGATAAACTAGCCCAGGGTCAGGAGGTCACAACCAACCCAGGGCATAGAGATGACCCATGAGTCAAAGGTCAGGAGATCATCCACTGGTCCAGGTCAGGTCAGGAAATGACCCACCAACTCAGGATCCAGAGACAGCCCACCGATCTAGGCTGGGGGATCACCTACCAGCCCGAGGTCACAGGATAGCCCTTAAATACAAGGGACTCACCTGGGGCTAAGAGCACTTGTCCTCTCCAAGCCCTCCCCAGGACAGCCCACCCTTTGGATTCCAACCCAGGGTCACCCTTCCCTTCCCCAGGCTCACCTCTGGGCAGGTGGTGGAGGCTGCGTGGGACCGGAAAGAGCCGGCTGTGATGGGCGAGGGAGACGCAGGGGAGGGACTCGTGGGCACCGGGGGGACTCGGGCGGCACTGGACATGGGCCGGCAGGGTGAGGACACGGGGGAGGCTATGCTTGGGTCCCCCCGTGCAGCGGCAGCGGCGGCAGCGGCGGCGGCCAGCACATGGCGGTGTTGCAGTGGAGCGTGCTGGGCCGCGAGCTGCAGCTGTACGAACATCATGTGGTCGCCCACACGCAAGGCCAGTGTCAGTGGCGAGCGGCCCGACAGGAAGTCACTGACCTGCAAGGAGAGCAGTCCATCAGCTGGGAGTCCCAGCCTGTGGCGCCCCCAGCCCAGCCCGGCCCAGTCCCCCCGCGCTGTGACCTGGGGCCTCTCGCCGCCCCTCTCTGGGCTCTGGGGTCCCTGTCGGTGCCACGGACGCTTAAATAAAATGAATCTGTATTTCCGGAAGCCTCCTCCGCCAGCCCGGCCCGGCCCGGGCGCCGCTGGGGGCTGTGGGGACAGAGGCGGGTCAGACGGGGGCCTGCCCCTCCCTGGCCAACTCGGTCAGTTCTTGCAAGGGGAAACTGAGGCCAGAGGGGGCGGGGCCCAGCTGGCAGTCGCTGACCTCAAACAACCTTCACTTTGCGTTTCCCCCACCCTCATGGGCCCCTAGATCCTCTCTGCCTGTGGATACGGGAGGGGCTCCATCTCAGGCCCCCTCCCAGCTATGTCACCAAGACCAGCAAGTGGGTGGAATTCCTGGACGAATTCTTCTGTCCTAACCTTTGCTTTCTCAAGATAAATATTTATCTGTCCTGGGCGGGGCGGAGGCCGAGGGGGCGGCGGCAAGGCTGCAGGAAGGGGCCCTGACCGCCCTGGGGCTGGAGTCCCAGAGGGCACAACCTGCCCCAAGCACAGAAACCCTCAATCTGCCCCCGTTCAGGGTGGGTGTGGGTTGGATCTGACCCTGTCCTCACCAAGCCCCCTGCTCTGGGTCGGGGCCAGAGCCCTGCTCTCCCCAGGGGCCGGGATGGGGGGGTGGAGGTTTCTGAGAAGTGACATAGGCTGCGATGACTCAGAACCGACCGCCTCCCAGCTCTCCCTCCTGGCTCTCCGCTGGCAGTGGCTGGCGTAACCTTCTCTGCTTGGGGCCCATGGGGAGGGGGGCAGGGAGGAGGGCAGGGCAAAGCCCCCACCCTGAGGCCCAGCCTGCCCGGCCCCCCTGCCCCAAGACAGCCTTTGCAGGAAGGGCCCGAGGTGGCTTCCCGAGAGCAGCTGGAGTCCCCACCACCACCCGCCCTGCAACTTCCTCCCTGGGGAGGGTAAATGGGCGGGCAGGACTCAGTGCCAGGCAGGGAAGCTACCCTGGGGAGACCAGTGTCTCCGCCCAGCCCCCCCCACCCCAGCTCCTTCCTGACGCAGGCACCCAGGGAGGAGGGTGTGAAGCCAACACGCCCTGGGCCCCCTGCCAACCGCAGCCCCCCAGCAGCGGGGAGCTCTGCTCACACTCGCCCCAGGAAATCACCTGCAGCCCCCCACCCTGGCTCGGGCCCCCGGCTCTGCCCCCACGCCACCGCTGCTGCTGCTGCTGTGGCCACCCCCCTGGCAGACCACCCAGCTCCCGGCCCCCGCCCTGCCCCCTCGATGCAGGACTCTACATGTCGCTGGGAAGGAAGAAGGGGGCATGGGCCTCGGGGCCAGGGAGGCCCGGGAAGCTGGCCACCCCCTCGCTGGGGCGGGTGGCAGCCTGCGTCCTCCACCCTGGCAGCGGGCGGATTGCTGAGGCCTGTGTCACCCTCCTGGGAGGTGGCCAGGGCCCTTGTCTGAGGAAGGCTCAGCCGCAGCCAAGAAAATGAGGAAAGAAGGAGGAAAAAAAAAAAAAAAAAGGCCGCAGCAAAACCGGGAACCGGGTGAGGGCCAGCCCCAGCCTCCCTCCTGGCCGCTTACTAAATATTTTCCTAACATCCTGTCTAGGCCTCGCTGGCCCCAGGGCTGGGCGCCCCCGCCCCCTCCTCTTTCAGGGTAGAGAACAAAGGCCAGAAAAAAGAGGAGGAGGAGGGGGTGACGAGATCCCCACCCTCTCACGATGGGGTCACGGAAGGCGGAAGGAGTGTCACCCAGGCCGCCGCCCCCGGCCCCTAGCAGAAATGTAAAAAAGGAGAAACTCGCTCTGGGGAAGCCACAGAGACTGGGGGGGGGGTGGGCTCCTCGGCGGGGGCCAGAGGGGGCTGGGGATGCAGGCCAGGGTGTGAGCAGGGATGAGGCCCGGTGGGCCAAGGTCACCCCGCAGGCAGTCTTGTGAAAGCCAGGTCTCCTTCCCCCAGGGCAGCCACCGTGGGAGAGAAAGCCCTCTGGGTCAGGTGGTGAGTCTTGGGGGAGAGGAGGTGAGGAGGCCAGGCCAGGCTGGCACCCAGGCAGAGTGGCACATCCCCTCCCCTCCCCCAGCCCCCTGGGAACACAGACAACTCCCAGGCACCATCTGTGGCCGAGGCACCCTGCCCCCGGGGCTGCCCTGTTAGGAAGGGGCTGGCGAGGTCTTACCTGCGTCTCCGTGAGACTCTCGAGGGCTTGCATCACAGACTGCTCCGGCCTTGAGGCCTGAGACTACAAAGAGAGGCAGGAGAGGGGCCTGAGTGCGGGGTCGGAATCACAGGCTGGAGCATGGGGTGGGAAGGGCCCTGCTGGCTGGCGGAGTGGGGGCCCCAGGTGGTGTGTGTGCGCGGACAGGTGCCGAGGGAGGGGCTACTGCCTGTGTGCGGGGGCCTCGGGGGGCACGCAGCCCCATGGCCATTTACCATGAGGCCCGCTTCCACGGTGGGTACCAAGGTCAGCTTGCTGCCATCACCCACGCCGAACTCCTGCAGCTTCCCCGAACTGAGCCGGCTGGGGGGAGGAAAGAAGAGCATGAGACTCCGCGGAGACGATACAGGGCCGCGGAAGCAGAGGCCGCGGGGGAGGGCTGTGCTTGTGTGGGGAGAGACGGATAAGTTCCCACCCCCAACCCTTCCCGGCTTCCAGATCCAGGGCCCTGAGCGCATGCAGGGTCTCTGTCTGGTACTGGGAGCCCCATCCTGGCGATTCGGACCCCTTCCCTCCAGTGGAACCCCCGCCCTGGACTCTGGCACTCTGGCACCCCCTCTGCACCCCAACCAGGCACTTTCCCCTCGTCTGGGCCCCAGTGTGCTCTATGCCACCTTCCCCCGCGCCCCCAGAGCAGCCTCTGCCTCCAATTCCCCAACTCTAGCCCTGGCTCGTCTTTGTGGGCGCCACGGGCTTCGGCCCGAGAAGAGGCCCTGGGGGCTGCGCCGGGCCGGGCTCTCCCTCCTCCTACCTCCCCGGCCGCCGCGCAGACAAAGGAGACCCTCCCCCTCCGCCCCTCCCCCGCCGGGCCCCTCCGCTGGGATGGACACTGCGTGTCCCCGGAGGCCCGCGGGGGGAGGGCTCCGGGCCTGCAGGCGATTTAAATACCAGGGGGGAGGGGAGGCTGCGGGGAGCGCTCGGAGGCGAGAACAAAGGGGGGAGAGAGACGCAAGTGGGGGGAGACAGCCAGACGCAGAGGAGGCCGCCGAGCAGATGCGGAAGCCGGCGCGGACGCAAGCGGGAGGGGGCGGCGGCGGCCCCCGCGCCCGCAGCCGGGACCCCCGCGCCGCCCTGGGATTCCTGCCCGCCCCCAAGGGGGGCCGCCGAAGCCCGGCCTGGGACGCCCTCGCAGCAGCCTTTGTGCGGCCACCCCGGGCGGGGGAGGGGGCCGAAGCAGGCGAGGCCGAGCAGAGGGCGCCCGAGAGCGCGCGGCGCGCCCCCGCCCCCCGTCTGGCCGCCCCCTGCCTTCCCCGCGCGGCGCGCTCTTTGTTCCCGCCCGGGGGCCCGGGCCCGAGGGGGCGGCCGGCCGGGGGCGCGCGGTACCTACGTGTCTTTGTGGAGAAGCGCCAGGCGCTCCTTGGGCACTTTCAGGCGCTGAGACAACCGCTTGCGCAGCCCCTCCACCGTCTCGTCGGGCGGCACGGCCAGGTCGTAGCGAGTGCCCGTGGTGCTGTGGATGGCCAGGCTCATGGGCGCCGCCTCGGCCGCCGGGCCCAGCTCGCAGGCGCCGCCGGGGGCCCCGCGCCGGCAGCTCCGGGCGCCGCCGGGCTGCGGCTCCATCCCCGGCGCGCGCTGGGGGCCTGGGGGCGGCGGGCGCCGCCAATCCTCGCCGCGCCTCCGGGACAGGGGCTATGGGCTTCCCGGATGCCGGGTCCTCCGGGCACTCGGGGGCGCGGAGTAGCGCGTGTCCTCCTCGAGAAAGTCCCGGCCGCGGAAGGCGAGACCGAAATCCAAAATCCGAGTGGCGCTCCGAGGTCGCTCCGGCTCCTGGGGGCGCCTTCCGGGGGTGGGGACGGCACTCGCTTCTCCTTTAAAGGGCGGCGGGCGCGACCGGGGCGCGGCGCGGGGGAGGGTCCTGGGGAGGGGGCGCCGTTCGGCCGGTGGCGCTGGGTGCAATCTGCAGCCCGGGTCGCGCTTCCTCGCGCGTCCCCTCCCTTAGCAACAGCCGCCGCCGCCGCTCCGAGGATCTGGGGGTGAAAGTAACAAGAAAAAAAAGTTATAATGTATCAACGTTCCAGGGGGCGGGGCCGCCGCCCCCTCCCATTCACTACTTACTCCGCCGGCCCCGCGCCGGCCAATCGCCGCGCGCGGAGCGCCCAGTCGGCCGCGAGCCCGGGCCAATGAGAGCCGCCGCGGCACCGCCCCACGTGGCGGCCGGGCCCTCCCCTCGCCCCGCCCCCGGCGCCCAGGCGACCAAGGGGAGCGCAGCGGGGGCGGGGCTGGCGCCTCTCCGCGCCCTCCCCCGCCCAGCCCGCGCCCGCAGCCATTCATAAGCGCCCGGAGCCCGCAACAAAGGGCGGGCGCGCCCCGGGGGGCGCGGGACCCCGGCCTTGAGACAGGCCTCGTCCCCCTTGCGATCTCCGGGGAGCGACCTGGGAGCGATAGGGGGCGCGGGCCATTGTTCCCGGCGCCGGGAGGGGCAGGAAGTCGTGGGGCCACCCCGCCGCGTCCGTCCGGGAAGAGCCGTGAGCGGAAGCGGGAGCGCGAAGTCTGCGCCTCGTGGCCGGGGTCCCGGGGCGGGCGGGCGACGGGGCGGCTAGGGCCGCGGCCCCCGGGGAGGGCGTGGTGAGTGGGGGCGGAGTTGGGGCTGGGGCGGGGCTCCCGCACCTCGGTGACGTGGCCGGGTGGCTGCTGCCGGGGACCCGCGAGCCCACCCCCCGGCTCCAGGCAGAACCCGTTTCCCCGAGGCGCGCCCGCCCGAGCCGTGACGTGACGCGGCGTCCCCGGCTGCGCCCGCGCGCGCTCGGGGATGCGGTGAGTCAGCAGCTCGGGCGCGCCCTCTGCCGAGCCCGCCTGGGAGCGCCGCCCGGAGTCCCGGGGAGGGGGCGCCGCGCTGCCCCTGGCAGGGGAGGAGGACGACGGGGCTCCGCGCGGGGGAGGAATCCCGATCAGGGACGAAAGACTAGTCGGGAGACTGGGACCGCGTGGCTGGGAAACGCAGGCCGGAATGGCAACCAGTTCAAGGTCACTCACGGGGAAGGGGGAGTGCCTGGGGGGCGGGGCGGGGGCTGAGGTCCGGCCAGGGCGGTGCTGGCTGCGCGGAGCCCCTCCCACCCCGCACCCCGGGGGGCTTCCCAGGACCAGAGGCACCCCGAACCCCTCCTGTCCCAAGAACAAAGAAAAGTGCGGGCATCCTGAGTCGTCTAGAGTGGGGACCTCTCCTCGGCCCGCAGGTCCCGCCCCTTACTCACCGTGCGCGGCCGGTCCTGCGTCTCAAATGCTGCGAGTACCCTCGTCCGGGACTGAATGCGCGCTGGCCGGGCCGGTCTGGGCCAAGCGGGCGGCCCCCAGCCTTTATCCGCGCCGCCTTCCCTCGGGGTGGAGTTTGGGCGGGCAGGGGGGCGGGGGGCCGGGCGGGCGGTGACGCAGACTGGCCCCCGCCCCTGCCTGCCGGCCCGGGCCCTGGGGCGCCTTGGCGGCTGGGCCACCCCGTACCCAGGTTTGGCGCAGTTCATGGGGGGACGCCCCTTGAATGCCCCGATACAGGGGTCTCGGCCTGCCTAGCCACGGGCTCGGATGCACCCCGAATCGTCACCGGGACAGGGTTTCGGGGTGTACAGCGCGACTCCCTGCCCCGCCCCCTTCCTGCCGCCCCAGGCCTGGTGCTTCCGCCTGGGGGCGCCCGCGTGGGGGGGACGGGAAGAGGGGCCTGAGTCAGCGGCCGTCGTCCAGGAAAACAGGCTGGAGTCACCTGCCGTGGAGTGGGGGTGCCCTGGCCAGCCCTGGCCTCCTGCATCTGTCAATGGTGACCTCAGAGGGCATTTATGGAGCGATTAGCCAGTGCCAGGCCTGCCTTGTGCCCAGCCAGTCACCAGCCGGCTATGCTGTGACCTCGGGAGGTAACTGGCCTCTCCCAGCCTCAGTTTCTCCAGGGTGGGTGGGAGTGTGGTGAGGGGATGCAGCAGGCTCACTCTGGGGTCATCACCCCCCCATTAATGTAGGACATGCACTGGTTCCCAGCCTCTGGGGTGGGCATTACCCCATTTTACAGATGAAGAAACTGAGGCCACAGCCAATGAGACAGGAATGTGGTGTGCATCTTACCCTTCCCAGTCAGCTTTTTGAGGATGGCCCTGGTTGAGGTGGGTCCCTGTCCTGCCCCTCTATCCAGAGAAGGGGACCCCGTCCCTACTGGAGCACCTCCTGTCCACTTATCTGGCTCCTCCCTTTATCCAGCCTGACCACCTCCACCCCCACCCTGGCCATGGGCGCCTCTCCCAGGGCTGCGCTCCGCTTCAGGTCTCCTTCCGGCTGCCACCCATGCTCCCGGCAGCTGTGGCCCCCACCTTGACAGGCACACCCAACCCCGCAAGGTCAGGGCTAGGCCAGAGAGGGAGAGGCTGGGACAACCCTTGGAAGGGGGTCACAGGGGCTAGGGTTTGAGGAATGAGTAGCAGTTTGTCACATAAAAAAGATGATGTGGCCAGGTGCGGTGGCCCACGCCTGTAATCCCAGCACTTTGGGAGGCTGGGGCAGGTGGATCACGAGGTCAAGAGATCGAGACCAGCCTGGCTAACATGGTGAAATCCCATCTCTACTAAAAATACAAAAATTAGCTGGGTGTGGTGGCACACGTCTGTAGTCCCAGCTACTCGGGAAGCTGAGGCAGGAGAATCGCTCGAACCCGGGAGGCAGAGATTGCAGTGAGCCGAGATTGCGCCACTGCACTTCAGCCTGGGTGACAGAGCGAGACTCTGTCTCAAAAAAAGAAAAAAAAAAAATTGGGGCGTGGTGGCTCACACCTATAATCCCAGCACTTTAGGAGGCTGAGGTGAGCGGATCACTTGAGGTCGGGAGTTCGAGACCAGCCTGACCAACATGGAGAAACCCCCTGTCTCTACTAAAAAATATATAATTAGCCTGGCGTGGTGGCGCATGCCTCTAATCCCAGCTACTCGGGAGGCTGAGGCAGGAGAATCACTTGAACCTGGGAGGCGGAGTTTGCAGTGAACCCAGATAGCACCACCACACTCCAGCCTGGGCAACAAGAGTGAGACTCCGTCTCAAAAAAAAAAAAAAAAAAAAAAAAGATGGTCCAGGAAGTGGGAATGGCTTGTTAGTGAACTGGGCCCAGTTAGAGGGAGGAGGGGCAGGGGTCTATTAATGGGGCCTGGATGACGGGCTGGGGCCGTAGGTGAGACCTGCAGAGCCCGGTTTATTCTGCTTCCAGAGAACAAAGGTGGCGGAGGGAGCTGTGGGCTGGCGCCAAATGGGCAGCCCGGGCAGGACACTGGGGTCCTCTCTGAGTGGCCAGCAGCCCCCACCTCCCTCCCTGCCTCTCGCCTTTCATGTGTGGCTCTATCACCTGGACACCGTCACCTCAGTCTGATCGGGAGTGAAATGGACACAGTCACCTCGGTCTGGTCGGGAGTGGAATGGGACATGGGTTGAGGGTCATGCTGGGCTTCACAGTGGCCACTGTGCGCCCTTTGGGGACCAGATGCCCAGAGCCAGTTGAAACGAATAAACGTGCTAAAACGCTTCCCCACCATTTCCCATATTCAGTGTCCCCATGGTTGAGTGGGCTGTTCCTGGGTGTCATGAAGGCAAACCCCGTGCTCTGTTCTGCCGCACTGAGCCCCTGGCTGTCCTCACGGAAGGGCCTTGACCGCCTGGTCCCGGCCCCACCCTGGCTGCCTCCTGCTCCAGGACGCGTCCGGCCAGCACGGGCTGTTCCCTCAGGGTGTCAGGTGTCTCGGGTGTCCTGAGGCCTGGCTCCAAGGCTCACACCTCCCTGGCGGTGGGGGCAGGGGGGTCCCCGGAGTGAGCAGCTCCTCCCCTGAGCCCCTGCCAAGTCCCAGCTGTGCCCTCGGTCTTATTTATAGGGTCCTGGTGGCCTGGCAGGAACTTGAAGACCTGGGGCTACAGCCGGGGGGCAGGGACGGTGGGGCCTGGGCAGAGAGTGCTCCTGTGGCCTGGTGGCTGCCACAGCCTTCCCTGGGCTGGGGGTTCCTGGAGAAGTGGGGGCCTGGTCACTCGTGCCCTCAGGCCCAAGCGGAGAGGAAGCCAGGCCGAGGACCCTGGGCTGTTCCGGAAAACCTGAGCTGCTGACCAGTGGCCTCAGAGTCACAAGCACACCTGGAGGCCCCCAATGGTACCTGGCCTGAAGTGGAGCCGTGGCAAGTCACCGGCATGGGACCATGACGTGGGAGTAAGCTGCCCGTCCGTGCTGACAGGCCCGGGGTAGCCTCTGTCACCATCCCAGCTCCAGTGACACAGGCAGGCCCACCCTCCCCACTCACCCCCTTGGAATCCCTTGCCTACCCCACTCCACAGGGCCCTATCCCAAGGAGGGGAGGAGGTCAGGAGACCCCACCCCCGCTGTCCGAACACCACCTAGAGCCAGTGTCGCCTGCCCCCAGGGTTACGGAAAGGAGAAGAGGCGGGCCCAGCGGGGCAGTGCCAGGGAGCCACCCCCTCCTGGGCCTACCCCACTCCATCTGGGGCCAACCCAGAAGCCTAGGTGCCCACGGAGGTGCCAAAAACACTGCAGATTCGGCACCCAGCCAGGCAGGGCCACCCACAGGACGGGCGGGCACAGGGCGGGGCCACCGTGGGAGCGGGTGGGGCCCGCCTCTTCCCAGAGGCTGGTGGGCGGGGCCAAGGGCTGGCAGGGCTCAGGGTCAAGGCCTGGAGACCAGGAACTGGGCTGAGGTGTCAGGAGCGGCGGGGACACCCCTCCCCGCCCGATGTCCCCATCACTGGCGACCTTCACCCTCCCCACCATCGTGGGGTGAAGGTCAGCACCCTGCCCGCCCGGCTGCACCCCACCCACCCCCTCGAGCCTGCTTCCTACAGACCTCCCGGTGCCCTAAGGGGCATTCAGTCCAGGGAACTCAAAGCCCCTATTCCCAGGGGGACATGGAGGACTGGAGGACGTGAGCAGAGGCCCAGGACGCTCCCGGCTTCACCGGGCCAGGTGGAGTAACAAGAGCCGAGCAGTCAGGCTTCCCGGTCTTTAATGGGGCGGGGGCTGGGGGCAGCTCATCCAGAGAGGTGGCTCCGAAGCCGAGGTGGACCTTGGCGGCTGGCTCTGCAGGGCAGAGGGGATGGTATGCGGCCCGTGAGGCTGGGGAGATCTTGAGAGGTGGAACGACAGCCCCGTGGGTGGCAGCCACAGCTCAAAGCTGAGGAGGATCGTCTGTCCCTGCCCCAGTCCCCAGGGCTTTAAACACAAGCAGGGCCTGGGGCCCAGGCAGCAGCCTGCACTGCCCTCTGGTGGCCTCCTCGACAGGCACGGCTTCCCCAGGTGGCTGGGACGCCAGAAGCTGGCTGGGCCCACCTGGCACCCCTGCCCAGCCCCTAGCCGGGCCTCGGGACACGGGGTACGCACCGCCTACTCCAGGGCCTTCACCAAGGCCTCGTTGGCCTCGATTCGGATCTGGATCTCTGCCCGAGTGGCCTCGTCAGCTGCCCCCAACAGCTCCGCCTGGGCCTTCTCCAAGTTCGCCTTGGCTGCCTGCAAGGGATTGAGGGACGGTGAGGGGCCAGCAGGGACCCCAGCCCGGCTCCTGGTCCCCCAGCGCTCCCTCCCCCGCAGCCTGGACAACTCCCGCCCTGGTGAGCCTCAGGTCCCCTCTGGCACTCACCCCCAGGTCCAACATGTCGAGCGTCACCGCCTCTTCTGCCAATAACTGCACCGAAGAGTCGGCATTCACGGCGATGGAACCACTGCTCACTGGGGGAATGGGGTGGGGGGAAGGTGTGAGACCTCACGGGGCCAGACAGCCTCAGGGACGCCCCTGGTCAAGTGCAGAGCCCCCTGTGAACCAGAAGCTCGACAAACACTCAAGTCTGTGTCCTGAGTGTCCTAACAGACCTACAGGACTGGCCCTGGGGTCCAACATGGGGGGCAACTCCTAGAGAACAAAACAGGGGCCCCAAGAAAGAACTAGAAGCTGGAGGGACCCCCAAAAGCACTACCTGGGGACAGAGACCCTCCCTCTGGCCCACCACCCATGGCTGAGCTGGGATCCGGGCCAAAAGCAAGCTGAGTTCAAACCCGGCTCTACCATTGGAAACCAGTGATGCTTAAAACTGCGTTTTTCCTGTACAAATGACCTTCCTCCCCTAATCTGATCAGCCCTCCTGACATGGTTTCTTGAGGATTTTTTTTTTTTTTTTTTTGGCACAGGGTCTCGCTCTTGTTACCAAGGCTGAAGTGCAGTGGCATGATCGTAGCTCACTGCAGCCTTGAATTTCCCGGCTGAGGCGGCCCTCTTGCTTCAGCCTCCCAAGTAGCTGGACCACAACCAGCTAATTTTTTGTAGATATAGGATTTCACTATGTTGCCCAGGCTGGTCTCAAACTCCTGGGCTCAAGAGACCCTTCCACCTCGGCCTTCCAAAGTGCTAGGATTACAGGTGTGAACCACCGCACCCAGCCTCGCCTGGTTAGTTTCTTTTTATTTTTTGGAGAGACGGGGTCTAACTATGTTGCCAAGGCTAGTCTTGATCTCCTGGGCTCAAGCGATTCTCCCACTTCAGTCTCCCAAAGTGCTGAGACTACAGGCATGAGCCACTGGGCCTGGGTGGTTTTACATCTCTTGCTTCATCCATCACACGTTGGTTAGTCCAGAGCCAGTCGTAAACCGGTTGAGAGCAGGGTCCCCTCTGGTTCGCTTTCATCACCGCCCAGCCCAGGCTCCTCAGTGGACAAACCTGCTAAAACTGTATTTTCTTTTTTGAGATGGAGTTTCACTCTTCTTGCCCAGGCTGGAGTGCAGTGGCACGATCTCCGCTCACTGCAACCTCTGCGTCCAGGGTTCAAGCGATTCTCCTGCCTCAGCCTACTGAGTAGCTGGGATTACAAGCAGCCACCACCACACCCAACTAGTTTTCTGTATATATATATACTTATATTTTTTTTGAGATGGAGTCTCACTCTGTAGCCCAGGCTGGAGTGCAGTGGCGCAGTCTCTGCTCACTGCAAGCTCTGCCTCCCAGGTTCACGCCATTCTCCTGCCTTAGCCTCCCGAGTAGCTGGGACAACAGGTGCCCGCCACCACACCCGGCTAATTTTTTATATTTTTAGTAGAGATGGGGTTTTACCGTGTTAGCCAGGATGGTCTCGATCTCCTAACCTCAGGTGATCCACCTGCCTCGGCCTCCCAAAGTACTGGGATTACAGGCGTGATCCACCGTGCCCGGCCTAGAACTATTTTTTCTCGCAGCCTCAACTGAGACGGAGACTGACCTGGGATGTGCAGCCCGGGTCTGGCCTGGCCCTGCAGCCCTCCACCGAACTCACCGAAGTATTTGGAGGTGGTGCCGTCCTCTGCATGCACCACAACCAGCCCCGGCCGAAGGACCTGCAGCGTGGGCACGTGGGCCGCCAGGATGCCGAAGGCTCCGGTCAGCGTTGGCACGTCCACCTGCCGGACGTTGGCACCGTTGAAGAACACCTGCGACAACAGCGTGGGGGAATGATGGCGGGGCAGGCCGGCCCCGCGCCCACCCCGGACTCGGCCTGTCCTGCTGAGAAATGGGTCCGGGCAGGACCTGGCGCTGATGTGAGGCACTGAGACAGCCCAGTGCAGGATCAGAGATTGCAGCTTTGGTCCTCAACTTTGCGCCTCATTCTACTGATCCGCGAAATGGGAATGCAACGATCCGGCGACACCCAGGCTTTGGCCAGGGAGATCGGGGAGGGCACCCAGGAGGCGCTTATCTCGGGGAGGTGCCCGGGACGAGGGCAGCGCAGGGCTCGGGCGGCAGAGGCAGGGCCGAGGGTCCAGGACTGAGTGACCTCGGCTTCCGGGGCGCGCGGATTCGGGGACCCGGAAGCGGGGGGTCGCCCCCTGGGGGTGGGGACCCTGGACTCCGGGGGCGGCGGCCACGGAGGGTCCCGACCCGCAGCGCCCGAACCTGCGTTGGGGAGGCGAAGGTGAAGGACATCTGGTTGGGGCCGGCGGCGGCAGCCGGGGCGGCGGCGGCCTCGGCATAAGCACGGGCCTGACGGACGAGGCGGCCAAGTCCCGGGCGGCGGAGCAGCGCGGCGGGCAGCATAGCAGCGACCGGCGGCAGGAAGCGGGTGGCTGGCGGGCGGCGGACTCCGGCGCTGCGCGGGCGGCCTGGAGGGCGAGGAGGACGACGCGCAGGGACGTCTGGGAGGAGGAGTCCTGGCAAGAGCGCAAGCGCGAACTACGACTCCCAGCAGGGCGCACGCGACGTTGTCGACGTTAAGGACGCAACGCCCCGTCGTGGGGTATTCTGGGGGTTGCAGTTTTGTTCTGGCCCCTTATATAGCAGGGGGTCAGCTAAGGGCGGTGAGATGGTCCTGGGAGGTGGAGGGAGTAAAACGAGCTTCAGTGAAATTCAAGATTGGGCTGCCTGGTGGCTCACGCCTGTAATACCAGCGCTTTGGGAGGTTGAGCCCAGAGGATCACTTGAGGCTTGGAAACCAGTCTGGGCAACAGTGCGGATCGCCCCCGCCCCCGACCTGTCTGTACAAAAAAAAAAAAAAAAGATTTTTGGGGCGCTCATTGGATGCAGGGTCCTGGATAGACATCAAGAAAACATCAAGATTCCTGTTCTGGGCCAGGTGTGGTGGCTCCAATCTGTAATCCCAGCACCTTGGGAGGCCGAGGCAGGAGAATCACTTGACCCCAGGAGATCGAGACCAGCCTGGGCAACATAGGGAGACCCTGTCTCTACAAATAATCAAAAAATTACCTTGGCATGGTGGTGCACGCCTGTAGTCCCAGCTACTGGGGAGGCTGAGGTGGGAGCATTGCTTGGGTCTAAGAAGGTTGAGGCTGCAGTGAGCTATGATTGCACCACTGCACTCTAGCCTGGGCGACAGAGTGAGAATCCTGCTCTGGGGCCGGGGGTCGTTTAGCAGATCAGGCCGGGCGCGGTGGCTCACGCCTGTAATCCTAGCACTTTGGAGGGCGAGGTGGGCGGATCACCTGAGGTCAGGAGTTTGAAACCAGCCTGGTCAACATGGCGAAACCTCGTCTCTAAATATACAAAAACTAGCCGAGCATGGTGGTGGGCGCCTGTAATCCCAACTACTCGGGAGGCTGAGGCAGGAGAATCGCTCGAACCCGGGGGGAGGAGGTTGCAGTCAGCCGAGATCGCGCCACTGCACTCCAGCCTGGGCGACAGAGCAAGACTGTTTCGGCCGGGCGCGGTGGCTCAAGCCTGTAATCCCAGCACTTTGGGAGGCCGAGACGGGCGAATCACGAGGTCAGGAGATCGAGACCATCCTGGTTAATACGGTGAAACCCCGTCTCTACTGAAAAGTACAAAAAACTAGCCGGGCGAGGTGGCGGGCGCCTGTAGTCCCAGCTACTTGGGAGGCTGAGGCATGAGAATGGCGTGAACCCGGGAGGCGGAGCTTGCAGTGAGCTGAGATCTGGCCACTGCACTCCGGCCTGGGCGACAGAGCGAGACTCCGTCTCAAAAAATAAACAAACAAACAAACAAACAAACAAAAAAGACTCTGTTTCAAAAATAAATTAATTAAAAAATAAGCAGGTAGTAGTGATAGGTGGTGACAAATGCCAAAAATAAATATTAGTAAAAGTCGAGAAAGTGCAGGATGAGACAGGGTGGAAGGCTGCAGGTGCCGCTGTTCTAGGGAACGGCGACCGCCGCCAGGGGCACAGCGCGGGCAGGAGCACGGGCGATGCGAGAGGGCTCGCTGGGAACCCCGGACCCCGGCGCGCTGCTCCCCGGTGCCGGCAGAGGGCGCTCCGCGCCCGGAGATGCGCTCACCGCCCCCCACCTCCTGCCTGGCCCTCGCCCCCGCGCGCCGCTGACGCAGGAGCGCGTGCGCGGGCGGCTCGGGGCTCCGCTGCCGTCAGCCAGCGGCCCGCGCAGCCTCGCTCGCGGCCATGACGTCACTGCCCCGCCCCCGCGCTCACGCAGGTCGGAGGCACCCGTCCGGGCCCCAAGCCCCCCTCTTTAGGCTCCGGGAAAATGCGGAGTTGGGGATGGTGGGGGTTGGGGCTTGGGCTCCTTGGAAAGGGCCTTGTGCCTGGCGCTGTGGGCTGCTGGACCCCAGGGGTGCAGGGATCTGGGGAGGGCCTGGGGCTGTCCGACACCATCCGTGGCTCCCTACACCCGAAGGTTGCACCCTCGCCCCCTGCCCGTGTTCAGGCCAGTGGAGTGGCAGTCGCTCCTGTCCTTTGGAACCCGGGCACCTGAAGAAGGCCCTGCTGGCCGGACTCAGGATGAAGGGTTGGGCCTGGCTCCTCCCTGCGGGCCAGAGCTGTGAGGGTCACTTGGGGCCTGGTCATTCTGGCCCTGGTTCGGGGGGTGCAGAGGGGAAGCCCCGCTCACTTTTCTAGGCATGACCTGTGCACCACATCCTCTCCTGGCTCTCGGGACCTCATATCCAGCTGCCACTCCAGGAAGCTGGGAGGCCTAATAGACTGAATCTCACTCATGGAACCACTTCCCTCCAGTCCCCACTCCAGGGTCGCCCACGGGTGAGGGCGGCATTACTCCAGCCCCAAACCTGGGGTTCCTCTGGAATTCCGCCCTGTCCTGGCGTGTGCACCCGGCATGGCCACCGCAGCTACCGTCTCTGGCCTAGCAGGTCCCAGCCTCCGCCTGTTTAGTACGGGTACCTTTTCTTCACACAGCCATAGCGAGTCTTCGTTAAACATCGGAAGCCTGGCGGGGTGTGGGGGCTCACGCCTGTAGTCCCAACACTTTGGGAGACTGAGGCAGAAGGATCTCTTGAGTCCGGGAGTTCGAGACCAGCCTGGACAACATAGCAAGATTCCATCTCTACAAAACAAAAACAAAAACAAAAAATTAGCTGAGCATGATGGCGCGGGCCTGTAGTCCCAACTACCTTCTGGGCTGAGGCTGGAAAATTGCTTGAATCTGGGAGGTGGAGGTTACAGTGAGCCGTGATCACACTACTGCACTCCAGCCTGGGTGACAGTGCGAGACTCTGTCTCTCCAAAAAGCAAAAACAAAATACAAAAAACCCTGAAGCCTGCCCATGTCATGGTCCTGCTGGGAACAAGACGGTTTCTCTGCTGCCTCCACAGGCGCTGACCTGCAAACTTTTCTGCCTCGAAACCTTTGCCCATGCAATTCCCATCTGCCTGGCACCAGGTTCCCTGGTGCTGCCCCTCTGCCTGGAGGGCCAGCCATAAGAGAAGAGCTGCCCTTGGAGTTCACAGCTAGCGGAGTGGGGGTCCCACAGCACACAGGAACAGGCAAGGCGCAAGGCATAGGGCCTTGGAGAGACGTAGCAGAGGAGAGGACCCGGACATGGGCTGGGAGCCAGGAGCAGAATCGCCGAGACTGTGAAGCTGGAGGAGTTGAAGGAAACCGGGGTGAATCTTTGGCTGAATGGACAAAGAGGCCTGGGTACGGAGCACCTGTAAGGGCAGAGGCGGGGAGGCTGAGCTGGGCCAGCGGTGTCAGCCTTTCTTTGGGATGAGAAAGAGCAGGCGCTGTGGGGTGTTAGGTGTGGGCCCAGCGGGGCTGGGGTGGCGCTTGGGCCAGGCTGGTGGCAGGTGTGTGGCCTGAGTATCTGAAGGTGAGGCTCGATGGTCTGAGAGGGAGAAGCAGCGGCAGCTCTGGGACTTGGGTTTCTGCAGGTGTCGTTCTGATGTCACCCCACAAGCAGACCTCTGTGAGCGCACGTTTGGGCCCCATGGGCTCTGCTCAGCTTTAAGCCGGTCTGTGATCGCTGTCACACAGGACAGGGGCCAGGAGGGGCCCTCCACAGTGGCAGAGGGGACCTGCGTGGGGAAGCAGGCGGGGCGCCTATAACCAGAGACCCTGGGCTGCAATTGTGCCCGAGGGGCCCTGGCTGTGCCGCCCCAGAACCCCCACGGACCAAGCAACGTGAGAGGGGAGTCCGTGTCCCCCGGGACCCCACCCCCTCCTGCGCACGCGGCGCACCTCGGGCTGCAGAGAGTCGTGCATTCCAGGACACCCCGAGCTGCGTCCCTGGGACCTCAGGACCGGGCGGGGTGAATCGTGCCGATGGGCCGGGGGCGGGGCTCGGCCGCCCCGGCGGGTGCGGGGGGCGGCTCCGCGTGCGGAGTGGGCGCCCGGGAGCGCAGGCTCCGCCCCCCGCCCCCGCCGGAAGGGAAGGGGAGGCGGCGGCCGGCGCGGAGCCAGCCAGACCCAGCGGCGAGCGCAGCGGGGGCGGCGGGCCGGGGACGGGGCAGCACCGGGCGCGCGGAGCGGGCGCGCCGCCAACGCGGTCACGTGCGCGGCCCCTCCTCTCGCGCCGGCCTCCCCCGCGCCGCTCTCTCCATTCATAAATTCTCCGCCTGCTCCGCGGCCACCGGGCGCTGGAGCCAGCCGGGAGAGCCACGCAGCCGCCCGCCGCCCGCCCGCCGCCCATGGGCCGCGCGTCCCGGCGCTGAGGTAGGCGCGGCGGGCCCAGGGCTGCGGGGGGTGGACGGGGGATAGGCCGGGGATCGCAGCCGGCTGTGGGCTGAACGGCTGGAGGGAGGGCGCGGAGGAGTCCGGCGGGCGTGGGGACCGAGCTCCGGGCCTTGCGCCCCCAACCTGGCTGCCTGGAGAGGGACCCCCGCCCAGGCCCCGCCCCAGCCTCAGTTTCTCCCTGTGAGGTCGGGCG